CTGGAGAGTCGCCTGAGTACAGTCTGAAATCTCAAGGGTGTGGATGTAAAATTGGCATTCTGTAGAAAATGTTGTCTCATACTCCTACCAACAACAATTTCAGAACGGAGGGAGTAAATCATAACTTCAGTTCCAAAGGTGGACCGCTAATATTACCCAGATTTGATTACAAACCAAGCAGGTTCAAAATATGGTCCATCGCATCAATCCAACGTTAATATATATATAGGTACTGAAGGAAACAGAGTAGTACGGTCCGTAAGAACAATCTCACAACTATAAAAGACCATCTCAACTAAGTTCCACCACAACCATCAGCCCACGTCAAGTTAGCCATCCTCTTCCACTTCTCTCCCTTTTCTAGTTTGGCCTGCTGCAGAAGTTGATACCATTAGCATGTCAACAAGTTGTGGAAAAGCAGAGAAAAACTACAACATTTTGATAGTTGTGCTGAGGGAGAAAATTTGCATATGGCATTACTAAAATCTTATCAATTGTTACTGTGGGAGAAAATACAATCTTCTGGCTAAGTCATCAATATATTATTATTAAACAAAGTCCACCGAACAGCAACACTCATTTAAAGGATGTCAAATTGGCACAAAAAACAAATTGTATCTACTATTCCACTAACCTACTATTTTTGACATCTTTAGGCAGAGCAATTACTAAGTCCTTCTGAACCCCGACAAGATGAATGAAGAATATATACAGGGCTTTATCAAAATGTGCTAACGGGCAACAATGTTAGCAAGCCTTTATCAATGAAGAATATATACAGCCTTAATCAAAATCTGTTTCACCTAATATAACAAACTTTTGAACCCCGATCTCAGAACGAGAAACACGAGACAGTAAATTTGAGTGGGTCATTCAATACATTCTACTGTCTTCAGGATGACAGCATCCCAGAGGAGAAAATTATCAACCATCAGAACAGCAACAGGCTGGCATAAAGCCAAACAAGTTATACTTACAGTTATTATGCAGTTTCCATGTAAGCTTCTTCTTCGGTCTTCTTTTTCCACATGTATTCTTCCCCAGTCTTCTGATTCACATTCTCCATGTTTTCCTTAGCATCATTCATTTCTGTACACCCATTACTTAGTGTCCTCTTATTATCTTCCTTGCCACTAGATGCAGTACAAGTCAAGTCCCCAAGAGCTCTGATCCTGCTTATAGTAACACAACACAATACATTGCTATTACATATACATGATGCCTCTCCAAGACCCTAAACAAGAACAAATAAGATACACTTCTATGTACATACCTTGAAGATTTCCCTACTCCAGCAGCAGCAGCAACAATGTTGTTCCCATTACTACTCTCCATGTTTTCCTTATCATCATTCCATTCTGTACAACCATTACTTCCTAGCTCTTTCTTGTTATTAGCTGCAGTACAAGTCAAATTCCCAACAGTGCTGATCCTGCTTATAGTAAAACAACATGATACATTACTATCACATATACAGGAACAAATAATATGCTCTAAAAGACCCTAAACAAGAACAAATAATATGCTCTTTCACAGACCGTGCCTAGTAGATATATCTGCTCCAGCAGCAGCAGCAGCAGCAATGTTGTTCTTCCCATTAGCACCAAAAGCTTCAGTGTGCATGTCCTGCAGAATGCAACAGGCTTCCTCCCGAATGGAAACAGACATTTCTTCATCACAGCTTAGATTGCTCAGATTCTCACGTAACAGCTTGGCCTCCTTTGCAGCGCCCTGCTTGAACCATCGTTTTTGCAGTAAATTTCATGCAATGTGTACAGATCTACGTATCTATGAAAAACAGTGAAGGTAGAAAGGTCAGCATTTGGGCGAGCCAGACACTTTCTTACCACCATGGCGGCACCAGCAGCGGCGGCGATGGATCCAGACCCTTTGTACAACATAAGACTGATGGCATGCTCTCTGAGCTGATTGCAGAGCATGCAAGTCAAGTTACCAGAGTTGTATCTCCCGCACATAGCCCTCTCGCACATCAACTCAGCCTCTTTGCAGATACACTTGAAACCAAAAATTTAAATTTGTAGTTAGTGCAAAGAAAGCTACTACTGCTTAGTAAATGGAACAACGACTGATACAGATTAAGTAGGCATGCACATACCACCAAAGCAGCAGCGGCAGCATATGCACCAGCATATTCACACGCTCCATCAACTATGTCCTGCGCATGCTGCTTGATTTTGTGGCTCAGGGCAGTCTCAGTGTCAGTTAATTTTATCTTGTTCCTCTCACACAGACCGATGAACTTGGCCTCCATCTCCAGGCACTTGAAACCATCGTTTTGCAATTGATATAAGCAAGTAGATTAGCAAGCAGTTAAAGAATAGATGACCATTCAATCGAGCTAGAAATGAAGCAGGGCAAAAATACTTTCAGTTATTCCAGAAACTGAAGAAGAGCCAGTTTATGAGTGGTTTGTATTATGGAGACCAAACAACGTTTACGCACTACATTGAAGGAATTGGTAGGATAGAAATTCTTTCTACTAGGTGCCTACCTAGTAGGATGCTTCTGGGAACTCTATAGATTGAGTGCCGAGTCAGAGTATTAACAAATAAACTGATCATGCAAAAAGAAAAGTCAACCAATCTATCATCAGTAGCGCACATGAAACACAATAATATGAGCAATATATTAAAGATACACTACAATCCATAAAAAGATGGGGAATAGGCTACTTTTGGGAACCTAAATACTATGGCACACCACAGTTCTTAAAACCTTTCCTGATACATGGGTCAAACATCTACCAGATGCAGGCAGGAGGTTTCCAAGTAAATTACCTTGCGGGCGAGAGGAATGAGACGGCCATTCTCATTTGTCCATGCAGATCGGACCACAAACTTGTGCCTGGTACAGGCAGAGTCATCGACAGATTCAGGAGGATTGCGGAGGTAGTACTCGCAGAGGTACTCCCGGTAGAGGGGCATGTCCGAACCGAGGCCCTGATAGATGGGCAGCAGCCTCCACCATCCCCATGCCTTCTCCATTTGATCTATCTATCACAACCAAGTACGCAGAAGAAGCAGATGAGCACAATAACATATATACGAATTCAATTGTTCATTAGGATGAAATGGACGGCTACTCAACGACAGATGAGGTTTGGGGAACAAATTGGCCATCATCAACAACAACTCTATCCAATGAATCAAAGCACAAAGTCATGATAGATTTCCACAACGGAGAAAATAGATCAGCATACCTGGGTACCTGATGATCTTTGCCGAAGGTACCGACATATTTGTAGGTCTCAAATTACCCTCTACTTGCATCAGAAAAGCCCACCACTTCATGCGCATCCTAGTATCGTCGGGGGGGTACTCGATGCCGTTGGCGGCCAGCACCTCAGGGTCGTAGCGGTGGAACAACTCGTCGTCGTCGTCCATCCTGAAGTTCTCCATCCCGGAAGCCTCGGCGCTACTCAGATCTGATCTGCTCTCTGTACGAGGGTTTGTCCTTTTCTAGGAGGGGGGAGGGAACGGGATGGCACGGGATCTAGGGTTTGTAGATGGGGAATGGAGAAGACTGGACGGGGAGGGGACTTTTTTTTTTGAGTATCAATACAGACCCAAGCGCTCGTATACACGCGCATACACTCACCCCTATGAACGCACACACGCACACCCTACCCCTATGAGCATCTCCGAGAGACTGAGCCGGCATATCATTTTGAGATTTACGAAGTCACCGTAGGCGCCTCGTCGTCGACGGGAACGTCTTCTCCCACTGAAAGCGCATCGCCGGAAATCCTGAAATAAATTCAGGAATAATGCGAGCATCAGGATTGACCCTGGTGGGTTGGGGATACCACGGTCCACCTAACCAACTCAACCACAGGTTGATTCGCGGGGAGGGGACTTTTGAAAGGGCGAGACCTCCTCAGCCTTTTTTTTCGAGACAAGCGACCTGTTGCTGCCCAAGGATACACGCGAACCGCTAGACAACGGAATCCATCTCCAAATTTGAGCCGGTTTAGCGCCGTCTGATTTGCTCCCTCTCTCTGATTTTGCAGTACGCCACACCCCTCCTGATCAACAAGACCCCGTTTCGACCGTAGAAGGTCTGTTTCCTCTGTTTTGCCCGTCCGCGCTGGCTTACAACGCCGCGATCGGGTCATCTGTCTGAGCCGCCTCTCATGTTGCGGTCGTTTTTTCCGTCTGTCTCTCGCGGCCTGATCTACATCAACACACTAGGCCGCACCTATCTACATGAGCTGTTTATTGAGTATCAAGCAAGTCACAGCTTGGGTAGCCCGGTTTTCTTTTAAATTGGAGGCAAAGTATCATCAACCACCGTCTGCACTGGATGGATCAATGGGCAGGCACGCAAGTCGCCGCCACTACAGTTTGGTTAATTTCAAATAGCCAGTTGGAAGGAACCATTGGCCAAGTTGTTGACACGGCTTATACAGATCATTTATAACCCGCCGCAGTCACCTTAACCTTCCGTGGATTCACATCGTGTATCAACACCAATGATATACAACTTATGCCGGTTTATATCACGGTCAAATATGGAGAATCTCAAGCCAACACCTTGAGTCACCTTGAGACTCGAGGGCTACGATGACATGACTCAGCAAATGTTGCCAGTTTCAGCAAATTTAAAAACCCCAGGACGATGGAGGGAAAGATAACCCGGTCCCGGAGGCTACTGTTATTTGAAGGCCGTCGGAAAATTTTCGGCTTAGAAAGTATATGGCAGTTACAAAATTTCGGCTCAATGAAGAAGTTCCGGATCATCAGAAAGGATTCCGGTTTAAATTCTGGCTCAAGGGAAGTCAGTCTCACTGAAGCTCTCAAATATCCGGTTTACAATCCGGTTCAAGGGAAATCTGTCTCCCGCAAAGCTCTGAAGCACTCAAATCCGGTTTAAAAATGTCCGGTTTAAAAAGGAATTAACTTCTCGTAAGTTCGAGTTGAAAGGCCGTCAGAAAATTTCTGGCTGAAAATGAAGATTCCAGTTTACAATCCGGTTCAAGGTAAAGATGTCTCCTACAAAGCTTTGAAGCTCTCAATATCCGGTTCAAAATCCCGGCTCAAGAAGAATTTATCTCTTGCAAAAAGTTAAAGGTTGCCGAAGAGGACCTGCTGCCATGATGCGCGGTTCAAACATGGGTATCCTGCCTTATTGGCTTATCATATTATTGATCACGTGGGGGCTTCTGTTTATAAAGCGGCGTCTGGTTTACCCCTTGATTCAGCTTATCGAAGCTTTATACAATATCACTTGGGGGCTTGGTCATATCTGAACCATAGCTACACCTCTTGATCGTCGCAATGCCACAACATCACTTGGGGGCTTGGTCGTATCTGAACCACAGTCACACCTCTTGATCAGCTCAAAGCCAAATCAATCCGGGGCCAAAGAGAGTGTTGTAAAACAACAACTCAAACATAGGCACCCACTGAGCACAGCTCAAAATGTTACTTGGGGATTCTTTGCTGTCGAAATGAACAAAGGATCTACACTTGTAATAGGCTATCAAGCCATGGCTTGGAAGCCTGGTGTATACACCTAAAACCCCGGGTTAGCCTGCCTCTTTAAGTAAGTCACTCCGCCCAGGTAAACCTGGTATGACCCATCGAACTTTGACAAGTTACTCTAATAAGACCCTGAACTTGTCAAGTTAAAATGATGATTGGTTAAGGATTGAGGACCATCTTAAAAGGCTTTGTAAAATGGTTTAACTCAGTGGCCTGGCAGCCCATGAAAAGCCTCGAATTTGGGGCCTGGCAGCCCGTGAAAAGCCTCGACTACAAGGGTTTTCGTTTGCTTTTATTTATTAAGTTTTTCTCCTCGCATGAGATTTCTACTGTTTTGATAAACTGGCATTGTTCACCCGGTTTGACTTTCAACTACAAGTTGACAGTACATGCTCAGTTATAATTCAGAGACTATCAGCCCAGTCTGGTTTCGACTCAAAGTCACCAGTATTGAATAAACCGGTGTTTATCACAACCCGGTATGGTTTTATCATAAACTGGCACAATATGGAAGGAATTATCCGTACTCAAGATTTGGGTTATCACCCTTACTACAAAAAGTTGGTAAGCCAACGATGTGATTCAATGTCACAGGTATGATATATTTCATATTTGATTATTCTTAAGTGCAGCCTTGGTTATAAACCCGGGTTATATATTGGGCATTATGACCGTCCGACGGTAAACCGCCAGGACACTTTAAACTTGTTGTATGCAGAAACAGGTTGAATAAAGCATGATTATAAATCACCGGCGTTTGTTAACCCGGTCTGACTTTCGACTATAAGTCGCCAGTATGATGATAAATTATCCGGTGTTTGTTAACCCGGCCTGGCTTTGGACTATAAGTCGCCAGTATATATATTTGGATTGCGCCATTGGAATTATGTGCTTATAAATCATTGGGTATATTATTCAAATCTTTAATAGCCAACATAGCTGGATTTTTATTATGGTTATCAATAGCCAATGTTATGATGGAGGTCTTCAAAGTCGCTTCAGCTCAATGGTTATTATTTTATTAATGGACATGATTTATTTTTACGATGGAGGAATAGTCCCGAGTCGCTGCGGGCTTACGACCCGGCACTTGGAGGCTACATTATTCAAATTGAGATTACATCAAATATGCAAGTCCCATGTCACTGCCGGCATGCACCATGACACTTGGGGGCTAATGCAAAGTCATTTTTACTGGCCTTATTGAAGACCCGACTCATCACATCATAATGAGCCGGCCCTTGGGGGCTACCAATTGCTCCTGTCAACAATTTAAGGTACACAAGTCTTAATCCATTATATTGAAGGATCCACTGCTCAGTTGGTAAAGCACAAAGCTCTTAACCTTGTGGACGTGGGTTCAAGCCCCATGATGGGGGTTACATTATATGATGTTCTTTTCAAATAAGTATATATAAAGTACCAGCTCAATATTATCTTACTGAGCCGGTCCTTGGGGGCTACACGTTATTGTTCAAGTCTACATGATCATATTTATAAAGTCCCTGCTCATTATTAACATAATGACCCAGCCCTTGGGGATTGCACTGGTTGAAGTTTTTATGAGTATAAGGCAATTACAAGTCCCAGGTTGCTGCAAGCATGACAATCCGACACTTGGGGGCTACATATATGGAGTATTCAGTTTTTACTAGTAACTGAGATGAACAACATGGATTTCTTCAAAGTGGCACTAATTATATGGAAACAAGTCTCAAATCATCACTTTGTTTCTGTTCAAGACTTGGGGGCTACATGTAATATGGATATAAGGGAGAAATATGTTCCAATTTTCAGTTTTGAGCTAACCAGATTGACCTGGGGTCTGTAACAATTATGACTCAGTGTCACCAACAATTATTGACCCGGCGTCACCAACAATTATTGACCGGGCGTTACCTATCATTATGACTCGGTGCCATCGATATTTACAAACCAGTAATTTTGGTAATATTAAACCGGCAAGTTCTACATTTTGAAACCGGCTGGTATCAGCTGAATATTTGAAGATCAATATTTTTATCAAATCAGAGCATTGAAGGCCGATTCAAATGGATTCTTTATTTACAAAATATCTTCTGCAAGCAAATTGATTATGAAGCTGGTATATTTACAAGGTAATTTGAGCCGGTTTAGCGCCGTCTGATTTGCTCCCTCTTTCTGATTTTGCGGTACGCCACATCCCTCCTGATCAATAGGACCCCCATTTCGACCGTAAGAGGTCTGTTTCCTCTGTTTTACGGTACGCTAGACCCCTCCCGATGAACAGGATCCCGTTTCGAACGTGGCCAGTCGAACACAAGGCCGTTTTCTCCGTTCTGCGATACGCCAGACCTCGTTTCCATCGGCTATTCCTTCCAAGCCCTCCCAATGAACACGATGACGCATTCCGTTCCGACCCAGCCGGTTGGCTCCCCATGAACACGACGACGACGTAGTTTCTCCGTTCCGACCCAGCCATGTACACGAGCCCTGGCCGTACGTATGCGCGAGTAGGCATTCGAGACCCTGCCTGCATGTACGTGCATGGTCGTATTTTCTTTCTTGCACACTGGCCGTTGTACGTACGTGTACATGCTACGTGCGCGCCTCTACTACAACACGTGCGCGCCTCTACATCGACCAGTATGTACGTACATGTTCGGGACCAGAATGACAATGCTACGTACGCTTCGACCAGGTGGATCCCGACTGTCACGCACTTCCTTGCGTGCGAAGATGTAGCTGGTGGGTCCCAGCAGTCAGGGGGGCGAATCGTTTTTTTTTTGCCCGGATGCACTTCCTTGCGTGCAAAGATGTGGCTGGTGGGTCACAGCAGTCAGGGGGAAACATTTTTTTCACGAAATACGGTGGCCCGTCCGGTGGGTCCCAGCTGTCAGGTGGAGGAATAATTATTTTGCGCGTAATAAGGAGGC